GGGCACTACCGACTGGGCCTGGAAGAAAGTGTCGATGGTCTTGATTTTGCCGCGCCACCACGAAAACTCCTCTCGATCCTCCACGACGATGGAGTCCAGCAGGCAGTCCAGCCTGATCAAGCTGAAGCGCACCACGTCGTATTCAGCAGTCGGCGGAGCCTGACCGTGCCAGGTGCCGCCCTCCATTTCCATTAACCGGAGGCGCAGACGATCGCAACGGTCAGACAGTTGTTTGACTGAGTCATCGGTTAGCTCGTCGTCGTAGAAGGCCAAGCTGTTGAGTTCGATGATAGCAAGGACTGAATCCATAGTCCGGCTCACCACTGTAGAGTCTGGGCTGAGCGCCAGGTAAAAGACGCGATGTGCGATAGAGAAGTTTAATCACACAACAAGTTGCCAAACAGACTACTAGCTAGAATGAGTTACAACAGAGCAGAGCAGCCGCTTATCAAGTGTCGACAAAGTTCTAAGAACTTGGCTGCTACAATATTGCATAAAATACATTTGAAATAAATCTGTAAATTGATTGAGTAACTTACTCTGGGTGCACTTTCCTGAAATGTCGGCTTCTCTGCGCCGGCGTGATTACCGGTTTGATCGACTTTGGTTACCGTTTTCTCAGCAACAACTCATCGGATCGAGTTGATTTAAAAAGTAATTTCAAAGTAAGAGCTTACTGAAGCTTCTGAGCACACTTTGTCCCAGCTCTTTTCACACTAGCTTACAGGATCATTGAAGCGAGGAGTGCAGGGAAGCCAATATGGCTGCTTAAGAATGCCGCAGGGAGTGTGCTCCTCAACGAACAGGATTACTAGCTCAATCGGTAGAGCGTGAGACTCTTAATCTCAAGGTTCGGGGTTCGGATCCCCGGTAGTCCTCAGGCGTTGGTTCTTTTTACGCCCCCTGGTGCACCAGGATGGCGCCCGGATCCTTTTTACCCAAACCGGACACCGATTGCACCTGTAATTTCCGAGATATTGACGATTGAAGTTGAGACTAACTTTTTACTTTCATTGTACTTTGGGAAAGCGTACTTAAGGGCATGTTTTTAGTGTACAGGGGTATTGTTGTGCAACACTAAAAAATTTCGAACTTTTAAAATAAAGCAAAACACTAACCTAACCTAACACAACCTTGAGATAGCAGTAGTGGTCAGACACAGTAGCAGATGACATTTTAGAGTTGCGAATTGCAGTTTGAACTTGTACTCCTTCAGCAAAGTAGAAGATAAGGAGAAGGTAGTCGACAATGTTCATTCGACCCTTCTCAAACCAGGTATTTTCTGCTAAAGACTGTGAAGCTTTGCATCGTTTGTCATTGCATCAATAGCGATAGCTTGCGAGAGAGCGTTCTGAACAGCAAGAAACTCTACCTACGCAATCTTTACAAGGTGGATAGGTAGATTTTTTAGATGGCAGCAGTTCATCGTTGACTAAAAAAACTTTTAGAACTGGCCATGGATCATCAGTTAAAGATCTAAAGGGAGCAGTATACTTTTATATTTATAAGAAAAAGTATTTTGGTGGTGGTCTGCAGAGCAAATCGCCGGGTGAGCGTTTTCGTACACTTTTTACACCTTGGGTCATCATAGTAAATGGCCAAGAGTATTTAATATAATGATTTAGTTTTTATTTGATTAAAAATGTTTTCTGAGCCGCCGACCTCAGTAAAAATGAGGGTAGGTGGCCAAAGGTAGAAAGGGGCTTACCACAACCTCACTGGGTCATCCTCGAGGTTCGTCGACGAGGGCCACGCGAGNCCTTGAAGACAACCCAGTGACGTCGTGGTGTGCCGCCGACCTCAGTATAAAAGGGGGTCAGGTGTCCCAGGGTGAAAGAAAGCTCACCACGACCTCAATTAGGGTCGTCAAAGAAAACATGTCTGCTCTGCATTGTGTTAGGTTAGGGTCGTTGAGGAGGGGGGCGTGTATAATCGCCCGCCTTCGGCGGGCTTTCTATTGTGTTAGATTAGGTTAGGGTTTCGCTTTATTTTAAAAGTTCGAATTTTTTTAGTGTTGCACAACAATACCCCTGTACAGTAAAAATTTCCCTACTTAAGGCAAGAGTGAGTCGAACTTTCTATTTTATTGGCTCTCGTATTGTGGTGATATGTTGTCCTGGCTTTCGCTCCGGCCGTTGTTGTGCCCGA